ACTGATTCAGACTACCATCAGATAGACAGGGATGTGCAGTATTACTACCCTGGTCTAGAGAATACCTGGCGCGCCAAGGTTCAGATTTATGATCAGAGCGCTAGGACTACGATTGGGTCGGGGAGTATTGCGGCTTTTGGACAAGTGATCATGCGAGTAGTGTAGTGCCATGGCAGGTGTCCGAATGGTATTCCCGCGTCTCATCAATGTCAGGCTGCGTAATGGTCTTTCACGGGGATACGAGTTGAAGGGTTGCCTTGGTGTGAGAGGTGTAGATAATACAAGTGAAGGAGGAATGTATTATCATATGAATACAAGCGCGTCCTAACGCTTGCTCGAAAGCTATCCACAGTGAGATGATCAGAAGATGAATAAATAATAAATAGTACAATGGAAGCGTCATCCGGCCTTACACGAAAGAAGTGATGCGAAGAAGGGCCTCATTAGTCCTTCAAAGCCCTAAATTAAGGTCCAGATAACTTCTTATCTCTGCCTAACACCTTACCATAGAACAACGGCTCAGGATACAGGTCCTCTTCATCGTCGCTTGACGAGTTTTGTTCACTGACCTGATACCTATCCAGCCCATCGTCTACCCTACCCTGGCACGCAAAGCTAATGTCCGAAAATGTCTTCTTTCTCCCTGAGTGTACGCTGTCTAGAGTCTGCATAGCAGTTTGCTTCAACGACTTACCAGTCTTCAACGTTGGTCCTACGACCTTGTCGTGCCAGTGTGTCGAGTGAGCGTCGTCGCTCTCATCTACATTTGCTTTCCCTCGACCGTGGCGTTTGCTCTTAGCAGCACTGAGATGGAACGCAGGGAGATGAAAAGCTCGAGGTGAGGGTCGGCTAGTCTCTTTAGTCTTCTCATGGGCGTAAGACGGCTGGGAAAAGGGAACGTCAGTGCGGGTTACGGGAAGGGGAAGCTCAGCTATAGTTCCGCCAATTCCACCACGTTCTACAGTTACGTTGACTGTGGTATCTTGGATTGGATCTATTAGTGGGACAGGACGTGAGATCTTGGACTTCAAAGATTGAGGTGCTCTGGAGGGCGAATGTTTCCACCATGAGTTGGACTCTTCTTTCTCAGCGGGCTGCCGGAAATTTACGAATGGCACGTCTTTAGCTCTTCGTACCTTCGGTGCTGTGTCTATTCTTGAGAAGGGAGGGTGAGCGTTGCTCACATCAACTATTAATCCAACTGCTCTTTCAGCGGCTATCGGTGGTCCATAGATTGAGCTCGAGAAGCCAGAATCTCTCCGCGCATCTGGCCTATCGGGTATGTTTACTTTGTTACTGTTATCAGTATGAGACGTCCGCGGCCGCAGCGGTGGGAAGAGAACTCCATCAGGACTTGTTGGGGGTGGAAGAGGACAAGGCGGTCGCCTTTCGATCTTCACCTTCGCCATGGTTTCGGGAGGCTTGATATCAGAGGGCTCATTACAAGCTTTCCTATGGCCAAGTGTCTGCTGGTACGCTTCCCAAACCTTCTGTCCCTCACCCTTTGGGCCTGCAGTGTAGATGTTCTTAGCTGTGCGGTACCAATGAGTCGGACCAGAAATAGCTTGCTTGTGATCACGTTTTTGCTTCCGGTTTGTAGCTTGAACAGTATCAGATGGTTCATCCAAAATCTGGTTCTTCCGCATGCGCTTTATTCCTTGCTCAGGCCGTACTGTTGACGCTGAACAGCGAGGAAGGATGGCCGAGTCTGACATCTTCCAGGTCTGTTCAAGCTTCGAGAAGTCGAGAAGTCTTGGTGCTACTATAGGGCTTTCCTGGTATGATACCTTCGTATGTATTGCAGAAGGCTTTGAAGATAGTGATGGTGGTTTTATCTCGTATGTCATCGATGACGACACACGCGTCTCGGTGGGCCCGTCATTTGAGTCGCTGAGTAAACTGAACTTGTAATGGTTGGGCTGTGTTGGCCGCTGCTCAGTGTCACGGTTCTGTTTGACTACCGTCGAAGGGCCAGCTGTGACCCATTTCGTACCCCTCGTGTTTCGTCGCATGCGGTGTTCATTCTTGGTAAATGGGTTAATGACTGTTCGCGGGTTAGCCATGGCGAAATGAGCTTTGAATGTTTATGACCTCTCTTTCGGTGACTAACGGGAGGGCACGTCTAATTTTACGGTGTGGACGTAGTCGATAAGGTAGTGAGCAGTGGTTACGCAAGAAGGGTAGCGGAGACGTGATGTGGAGTGAGAGAATACGCGCGCGCCAGAACGACAATGCATACCTAGGTACAATACTTTTGAATGAAGTCAAACGTCGTATTTCGAGTCACAGTACAGGCGTGTGAGACAAAGCGTTACAAGATAGAACAGCGCTCCAGACTATACAGGCCTTGTTCTGAGCGCTCCAGACGACTGAACAAAGCAATTCACCTCTTACATCCTTCGCAGACTCTTTTGCCTCATGACATCATGAGTAGGTTACCTTTTTTGTAAAAGCATTGTCGCGCAAGGCAGGTCAGACCAGTGACAGCATCTGACGCTAGTAGCAGTGTGAACCCAGAACATGTTAAGAGTGAAAGCAATGAGAGAGACGACGCATCGTGATGCCCTGGAGCCTTGCCAAAAAGCCTTCTCGAGAGGTACCAGACATAGCCCAGCAGCTAAGGTAACACCAAGCACCACGAAAAATGAATGGTGGGTGAGCGCATGGAGATTGAACGTGAAGTTTTTGCCATTAAACGCTATCATGGAAGCGCCTCAGTATATAACGCTGAGCGCAAGGAGATTCGTGAAAAAGGAAAAGGAAAAGAAGTTACTCCTATGAGCACTCGACGCAGCCAACCTCAATACCCTCAATCACCAGAGGCTTACTGTACTCACTTGGGACATTGCCCATTCCCATATCGACATCCTTCACACTGCCCGTCTCACTCTGTGTCTCGCTACCAAGCGCAGAATCGCTCTTGCGCCTCCTAGCCTCAGTCTCTTCTTCAATGTACGCGTACTCGTTCCTCCAATCACACAACATCTTGCTCGTGACGTTGCTACCGCCGCAAAGTACAATGACGACCTTGTCTTCTGGGCGGACTGGGCGGCCGAGGGCCTTCTCGAGTCGACCATCATAGCAGAGAGCGACGTTGATACCGCAGGCGAGCTCTACCATGATGCGCTCGTCGTCTGCTAGGCGCCAACAGCCCATTGCTGCTTCTGCGTCGGGTAGAACGATGCTTCGAACGTTGCCTCGCTGAGCGTATTTGAAGGTCGCGTCTGTTACGCGGGCGCAGCCTAGACTTGTTGCTTGTGATGTGATCTTGGGTAGTGTGATGAGTTCCTTGGCCTGGAGCGCTGCGTTGAGACTCTCGGCGCCAGCAGTCTCCATGGCGAGGATGGTTGTCTTACTCATTTGGTGTTTATCCATAGACTGGCAGATACCGTTGATTAGACCGCCGCCGCCGACAGAGCAGATCAGTACGTCTGGCTCGCCTGGGAGTTGAGCTGCGATCTCGTCCATGCAGGTGCTGTTGCCTTGCCAGATGTCTGGGTGATCAAAGGGTGGGCAGTAGATGGTCGAAGTTTGTGCCTGATGGATGCGTCAGTGTCTCAGTCAAATTGTATACCTGGAGAGGACCGTACGTAGGGCATTACATGCTCCTTGAGATATGTGTCTGCATCTTTCCAAGCTGCACCGTATTGGATAACCTCGTACGCACCCGCTGCTCGTAGTTTGGCAACCATCAAAGGTGCTGTGGCGGTGGGTACAACGACAGTGCACGGTAAGTTGAGAGCGCGAGCAGAGTGGACGGCAGCGAGACCTGCATTGCCACCGCTGGATGCGAATATGTGAGGGCGCGAGCCTTCTGGGAGTTCTGCGAGACGACGGAGGATGTAGTTGCCAATTCCTCTGGTAGACGAATCAGTACCCTATTGAGTAGCGGCTGAAGGGATCGATGCTTACCGTGACTTGAATGATCCAGAAGGTTGGAGATTTTCCAGCTTGAGAAAGATTCTGCTTCTACGATTTAGAATTCCCTTTTCTTGAAGATGGGGCCATGTTGTGACGTGAAAGTGAGGAGATGGGGTAAAGGTGAGAGGGAGTGTGACCGTACCATCCCGCTGCTTCAGACAGCGCGTACGACTCTCTCAGCGGAGTCTGAACCCATGGGTTTTGCTGGGACGCCTCGTCGATGTAGCACTCCTTGACGGCCATGATGAAAGTAGGGAAAGGATTGGGGTATCACAGAATTGTATTAGAAGCAAGTGTAAGATGAGAAGTAGACGAAGAGCTTGATGTTTGGTGTTCAGAAACGCTTTGTTTGGTCGCAGTCTAAGGGTACAAGAGCCACTCCTTTATCTCTACCATGATGGCTTATCGCTCCGCAAGCACCCGCAACCCTAGTGTCCAGGTCATGGAGCCAGAGGGGTAAAGGCAGCACTGTGGCACACCGAATCCACGATGTGTTGTATCGATTACCCTATAAAGTGCATAAATTACCCTATAGATTCTCGATAAGGAACAAGCGACCACGCTGCGACTGCAAAATGACACAAGCATGAGACCGGTACGCAGCAGCTTGGGTCAGGGTTTGGATTTCCAGAAGCGGTTATCAACGGCGGGACCATTTTCTGCCAGGGTTTGCCGCCTCCAAACAGTGGTGGACTTGGCGCGGCCTTGCCTATCAGAGGACGCGCATCAGTTGTCTATGCGGGTGATGAGTCCAGAAGGCCCGGAGCCGATAACAAATCGGCGAGACGGTGAAGACGGGGTTGGCTGGGAGGCTGATGTTAGGATGACATGACGGCTGCGGGATTGGCGCGAGCGATCCCCGACGGAAAGGAAAACTCTCGCACATGAGTGGAAGACGCGTCCATGCTCCCATCACGATGCAACTTTCCTGCGATAGCTATCGACGTTTCAGACAGGGCTTCCCCAGAACGAAAACTGCATGCGGACGTCGGAACAGATCATGCGGATCCGCAGACCATGTTGAAAACGCTAGTTGGGTATCTCTGTAATGCTTCTCAAGTTTACGCTAATCATGGGGTTTACGCAGCAACCTTTGGTTGATCGAGGAGGCCTTTCCTAAAGTTCCAGTAGTTTGCTCGGATCGGATCGTACTTTGTCGCCAACAGCTCCAGGGCTTTCTCCGCATTTTCTTTGCTGTTCTCTTCTTCCGCATAGATGTCGGCTAGGAGATCAAGAGCGTGGCTTGAGTGGACGTCGTCTGGCCTCTGCACATCAGCGAATTCACCCGCGAAGTCCTTGAGGGTCGACTTGGGAAGTTCCGCTGCGCGAATGATACCCAAGACATAGTTCCATGGGCTCTGGTTCTGGGGCGCTTTCCGGATGGCTGCTTTGGTGTACCTACGGGGTTAGTATCGTCGAGCAGCTTGGGGCGATAACAGACATACTCTATCTCCCGATTCACAAGATCTGCGCTTGGCTTCTCCTCTCTACCGCCAACGACTAGGTAGTAGCGATGGTTCCAGGCAGAGTTGTTGCGCACATCTTCCTCGATCATGCTGTGTGTCCACTCGAGCTCTTCGGGCTTGTCAAAGAGATCGAAGCGCTTGACCAGCCATTGCCTGTAACTCCACACATGGTAGTTCTTGGAGTCCAATTCCAACATGGAGTTTATGAACTCTGGTTCGCCCTCGCATGAGCCGAGCTCGTCGATGATGGTGTGTCGGTGGTGCCAGATCTGGTAGTTCTTGAGGTGCTTCAGTGCGGTCGGGTTGAGCCATGCGATTTCATCCTTCAGTGATCGACCAATCTCAGAGATGGTTTTGGCGCGGTAGAGCCTGCGGGGGGTTAGCAGGGTGGTTGTTGGAGAGCTCCCTGTGCGACTGCTGGTAGGCAGTGTCTCCTCCGAAACTCCGCAACTTGACCGAGCATACGACGTACCAGACAGTGTAGTGCGCGGGGTTCATGCTGATGATGTGCTCCGTGAGGCCGAGCACCCGCTCGCTGAACTCGTTCTTTGCCATGACGGCGCGCAGGTAGCCCATGGCCTCGCTGTACTCCTCCGTGTATGCGATGGCAGCGAGCGGATGCAGGCCGCCGTCATCCTGGGGAAGTGGCTCAATGTCCGCCCATGCCTCGTCGTCGTGGTAGTATTTCGGCATTCTTTCCCTGACGCCTTTTGCCTTGGGGTTGGTGGGATATGCGCTCGCAGGTAGCAATGCGCGCAGCAGGCGATATGGCGACAGGAAGATGGTCTCGAGCCAGGCGCGAATGAAGTTGAAGGCCATAGTGGGGTGCGAGCTTATGTCCGTTGCTTGGCAGAAAACCAACGGTTGCCATGCTCTTTTCAACCGTGTTCGCAGAACAATAGCAAGCCATTTGCACATGCATCAGACGCCCTTTCCACGCTTCCCATTTGTGTAGCCCTCCAGTCGCACGATGATACGCCCAAGGTCCTTGGTGTGGCACCCGTATCGGCCTGCGAATAAGGGTACCCCTTCCGGGAATCTGAACTACTACTCTAGCACCAGAAGCCATGTGCGATGAACAATACTAAGACACCACAATGTAGCTGGGGCTCACTGACATGCAGTCGCCGAGGTAGTCTGCAAGGAGGCCTGCAAGCGGACCAAGTGTGTGCATTGGAGCATGATTGATTCCTCAGATGAGGCAGGCGTGACTGGTGGTCATAGGACATCCATCGCAGCAGCTCCTGCACTGGACGCATTTCCAGATGCGCTTTCCCCAGCAACAATCCACTCGCGCTTTCTCCCACGTCAGCAGATAGCAGATACGCCGTTGCCAGAGCTTGCCCAAACAGACAAGAGGTCGTCTGCTGCATTACCTCTTCCGCTTCAACCCCTCTTGTGGTACCACAGCCTTCACTATCGCACCCACAAGAGCAACACGCTTACCAGCCCCGCAATGCCCGTCGCGGAAGAGCTGGCGGCCAAAGACGCCTTGATCAAGAAGCAGCGTGACGTCATCGCCAAATACCTTATCCTCGACATCGAAGACTTTCTGGCCGAGGCGCGCGAGAAGGCAGAAGCCGAGACGGCAGAAGCGTATGAGCGTGCGTTGGCAGAGGAAAAGGCCAGGGGCAGAGTATGTCGAGCTCACAGAGGCTCGTCGCCAAAGCGTCGTCGCTCGCTCTGCATCGCCCAAGACATTGCATCCTTCATTTGTTGCCGACAAGGTGGCTGACTCGCTTCTCTGTACAGTTGGCGAAATGGAAGACAATCTACAAACTGCAATACGATGGCGTCCCACTGCGCAGCATCATCTACTACAACCTCCGCAGCCTCTGGGAGTCTTGGGGCACCAATCCGTACCATTTGCACGCCGCCTGGTACGCCATCATGCTGACCTTGCTGTTGCTCTGGCTCATCGGCAGCATCGTTTGCGGATACTATGAAGCGGAGCAGGAGAACGGCAGCGTGCGACTGGCGAAGCTGTGCAGGGGCATTCTGGGCTCCATCCCGCCAATTGTGCAGTTCATCCTCTTCTTGTTCCCGCCGCTGTTTGTACAATTCTGATGAGACATGGGCTGATGCGGGACGGCAGTGTCGGCTGAGACCTATGGGGCGAAAGTGCTTGCCCATGGCATACGTGATATCAAATTAGGGTAGAAGGGTGTAATGGGAGAAAGACGTCTAGGGAAGTAGCTTAAGACACGGAATCTTACAATAATGAACGCATCATGTAACAACCAGCAGAGTCACGATGAGCATCTGGCAGCAAAAGGTGCTGATGCGCTTCGTCTTTTTCTCGTCTCATGTTGCGCACCGCTACAAGAAAAGACTGGTCGCTTTGTTTGCCGATTGAGCGCATGTCTTGGGCATCCGAGACAAAGACACTGGTATCCTGACAGGTATAACTGGAAAGTAACTCGACCGTTGATTACGATTTGCGTCTCCTCATCTCCTTGACCGAACCGCAATCGGAGCGTGCCTGGCAACCCCTGTCTGTGATGTCACCTGCTTCCGCGCCTTAGCGTGCCAGGTACCTGAAACCCTTATCCCCTTATCGTCTCCTCCCCCCGTCCAACGGTCGCGAAATTTCGCGAACACGCTCGTGCGACAAACGTCATAAAGCCTTCCCCGCCGTCGCGCATTTCATCTCTCATATCTCCCAGCACCCATCGTTCGACGCGCAATGCCTCCTAAACGACGCGCCTACGAGGCCATTGACCTCACAGGAGACGACGATGCGCCCGCCTACTCTTCGAGCCCGCGCCGCGCACCCAAGCAAGCTCGTACATCGCACAACCAAGCGCAACGCACTACATCTGGCTCGTCGCAAGCAGATGCCATCTTTATCGACGAAGACGACGAAGACGACGCCTCCCAGGAAGTCCCGGATGCGACGCAAGCATACAACCAGCAGCAGTACGACTACATACTATATGGCATCAAGGACGACAAGGTTGTGGGCTTGCGATTCTACAATGGATACGCAACGAAGGGCGAGATGGTGATTCTGAGTCGCGAACCCCACAATAGGTTTGACAGTAATGCGATCAAAGTGAGCAACGTACAAGGTGCACAGATCGGACACCTTCCACGAGGACCCGCATCCAAGTTGGCCAAATACATGGACGAGCGCAGTCTGCTTATCGAGGCGCAGCTCACAGAGGAGAAGGGCGAATATGACTGCCCTATGCAGCTTAAGCTATACGGCACTAATGACCCAGCCGTGAAGCAACAGCTCATGACACGGATGCGACGCGACGGACTTCCTATCGGACATGCTTCAGACCAACAGCGCAAGGAAGCTGCGGCTGCGAAGGCGGCTGCGAAGGAACGCGAGCGTATAGCCAAGCAAGCCGCCAAAGAGGCCAAAAAGAAGGGCGCCGCCGTGGTGGGTGTTGCGGGTAGCCAGGCACCCGAGAGTAGCATGGGCGAATTTGCTGGTAGCTCTTCACAGGGACCAGGTCTCGTGCCAGGGCCTAGTATGGAAGACATCATCGGCGGAAGCCTACGCTTCAACCCAAGAAACGTCGAGGAGATGGTGGAAGAGTACGGCGTCAAGGAAGAAGACCTGGTAAGTGATGCGCACGTGCGACCCCAGTATCTACCACTAACATTCGGCAGGCGAAAATGCCACAAGCGCCCCAACCCGACGCTCTTCTCACTGAGCTGCACCCCTTCCAGCTGCAAGGCCTGCAATGGATGCTCGACAAGGAAAGCCCCAGACTACCAGCACCGAATACCAGAGAAGTGGTCCAGCTATGGCGGCGACACACTCGCGACCAGAACGCCTTCACGAACGTAGCAACGAATTTCTCGATCAAGAATCCAACACTAGCTTCTGGGGGTATCCTGGCCGATGACATGGGCCTGGGAAAGACTATTCAGACCATCTCGCTCATTCTGGCGGATCGTGCACTGAACCTCCGCGCAGACGATTCATCCGGTGCCACGCTGATCCTTGCTCCCGTATCGGTGATGAGCAACTGGAGCACTCAGATGAAGAAGCATGTCAAGCCCGAACACGCTCTTCGTGTTATGTTCTGGCATGGTCAAAGGAAGGAACCCATCACACCCAAGTCGATCGAAAACTACGATGTCGTGATCAGCACCTACGAGTCTGTTGCTTCTGACTGGTACTCGCAGACGAAGCCTACTGTTCCACGACGATCCGGACCCTTCTCTATCAAGTGGCGCCGCGTCATCCTCGATGAGGGCCATGGCATAAGGAACCCGAAAGCCAAGAAGACGATCGCCATTACCAATTTGATCGCGCAGTCCCGCTGGACGCTTACTGGCACTCCAATCATCAACAATCTCAAGGATCTCTACTCTCAAGTCCGTTTCCTACGTCTTTCGGGTGGTCTTGACTCTTTCGAAATCTTCCACAGTGCCATCATGCGTCCAGTCATGCAAGGCGACGTCCAAGGCCACAAGGTGCTCCAGCAGCTGATGTCAGGTATCTGTTTACGTCGCAAGAAGGAGATGTCATTCATTGACCTACGACTACCTGAGCTGTCCGAATACGTACATAAGATCAAGCTACATCCGCATGAACAGGAGAAGTACGACGCCTTGGAGGCTCAGGCTAAGGGTACGCTGGACGTCTACAAGCACAACATCGGGAAGAAGAACGCCGGGGACACTTACCGCCATCTCCTTGAGGTACTGCTCCGAATGCGACAAGTTTGCAACCACTGGCAGCTCGTGGGCGAAGAGCGCCTCGACTCCATCATGAAACAGCTCGAAGCAGAAGGTGTCGTCGATCTTACAGAAGAGAACAAGGCCGCGCTCCAGAAGATGCTTCAACTCTCCATCGAATCGCAGGAAGACTGTCCGATCTGCTTGGACGTATACAAAGAGCCCGTCATCACCAAATGCGCTCACGTCTTCTGCACTCCCTGTCTAGAACGCGTCATCGAAACCCAACACAAGTGCCCCATGTGCCGTGCAGACTTGGATTCCATCGCAACTACCACGGTGAAACCTGCAAAGGAACTGTCCGGCGCTGCTCCTGCGCCGTTGACACAGGACCAGATCGCCGACAGGCAATCTCTCGAGAAGAACACCAGTACCAAAGTCGAGGCACTTCTCGACATTCTCCGGGCATCCGCCAACGACCCCACAAACAAGACCATCATCTTCAGCCAATGGACTTCTTTCCTCGATCTCCTAGAGCCACACCTCACCCTCTACGGTCTGAAGTACGTACGCATAGACGGCTCCATGTCCGCCACACAACGTGACGTCGCCCTCGAAGCGCTAGACTCCGATCCAAAGACGACCATCATGCTCGCCTCACTCGCCGTATGCAGTGTCGGCTTGAACCTCGTTGCCGCAAACCAAGTTGTTCTGGCGGACTCATGGTGGGCGCCTGCCATTGAAGATCAAGCCGTGGACCGTGTGCATCGACTAGGACAGAAGCGCGAGACGAAGGTCTTTCGTCTGGTAGTTGAAGGTAGTGTAGAGGAGCGGGTCTTGGGTATTCAAGAGGAGAAGAGGAAGTTGATGGGCTTGGCGTTTGCGGAGAAGGAGGGCGGGAAGCAGAGGAAGAAAAGGGCTGGAGCTGGTCTAGGTGACCTTCAGAGGTTGCTCGGGACGCAACAGCCTGCTAGTCAGACGCAGACGCAGACACAGGCCGCTTAGGGGGGAAGAGGGTGGAGTTGGATGTTCCGTGTACGATATAGTGTTGTACCCATGGTTGTGTGTTAGCCATTTAATGGGGTGATCTAATGAATGAACGAGCCTTCTTTTCTATCACTCTTGGTCGCTATTGATACATGTCACAGTAGTGTTGATATGCTGCTGTGAGTGAAGTATTGATGTTTCTTCCGTAGACATACGAAGAGATGGTGTTGACGAATTGACCGGTACGTGACCGCAAAGATTCTCAACGGCAGAGTGATTTTAAACCGTTGACCCTCAGACAAAGTCGTACTGGCGTAATGAGAAGGCATGCAAACGAAGACAACTTTGGTATCTAGGAGATGGGTTGCAGAGTTGAGGAATCTTTTTTTTTTGGCTCTTGGCGCACATGTGATACAATGTAACAACGAGCAATTCGATGTGTATTTATTTCCACGACATCCGATGGCAAAAAGTATTTTACCCTTATTCATTAGACTGCCTTTCTATCGTCTGACTATGATCAATTGCCTGTGAGCATGTCGTGGTGCTCCTGGCCAAATTGCACCGGTTTTGATACTGTTCAACAGGGCCATATTCCGGGTTCGCCACGGCGCAACTCTATCAACGCCGCACGACAATATCGGGAGAAGCGAATATTCTCAGAGCACATACATTTACGTCGATGGAGTGTTCACAGGGTGCAAAGCATATTGAGAAACGGATGTAGATTAAACTCGCCAGGGCGCGTGTTTGCCGTCGGCTTCGGATAATTCACCTTGAAGGGGTTCAGCTCCTGACATACACATTCCACGACCATAACGTCAAAATGACTACTCGCGTCATGGAGCATACATTTCGGAGTGCAACAAAACGGCGCCGCTCAATTTGCAGACAACTTGACGCCGGGAGGTTCACTGCTGTAGATATAGCGCTAGTCCAGCTTCGGAACGACGAATGATGGATGCTTGCTCACAGAGATGAATCGAGTCACTGCAAAGCCACAAGCAAGACATTTGCGCGTTCAGTGCTGCTCAGAAGGCATAGGGCCTCGACCTGAGCGTACTGGTGCAGCAAAGGCTGCGAGTCACGAAAGTATGTTCTACCTTTTTCCAGTGAAGGCGCCACTAGAAACAGGCGCCCCCACAAAGTGTATATGATAGATGATGCAATATGTTCTCTCTGGCAGGTCGACGACACATGAAGGGACATGGAATATGACCCTCAAGCAACCGGGGAAACGGACTATCGTCCTGCGCCGCGAGGAGCAGAAGCAGTACGCAGAGGTGCGAAGTTTTTATGGCCGCCGCACTAGCGCGTCGGCGCGCGCGTTTCTCCGACCGGCACGTGACACCGGCTAAGCTTCGGCGGGCCCGAGGAACCTCAAAAGACTTTTCGCCGCGCGCTCAAGCGACCTCTTCTCTTCATGGCCGCTGATGAAT